AAAATTTACCTTGTGCATTTTGGCCAAAAGAAATAGGAGAAATTCTCTGCTGAAGGCTCCTCTGGGTGTAAACTTAGAGGTTTTACCCAACATATATAACCATGCCTGAGGACATGGATGCCAAGGAAACTGATGCAATACCTGTTGCTGAGAGTGTAGACATATTTACTTCGATCCAAATTTTCATTCCCCAGGGCTGTTAGTGATGTTGATTCCCCATGCTCTCATTATAAATGTATAAAAATGGTTCAAGAACTCTGCAGCATAGCTTGGTGCTTGAATCCTCTGCTAGATTTTCCTCCTTTTATCTATTCTTTTTTTTAGTTGATTTATGGTAAAAAATTCAAAGTGCTCATGTATTTTATAAAAATTATTCTTACAATTGGCCTTTCCTGATAACAGGGAGCCATAGCTTCGAAATTAGGATCCTGAGTAGGTGAGAACCAGATACCATGGAGGGTTACAGATGTTTCTTTCATTTACTTTTTATTTGTGATCTGGCATCTCCTGCCTTGTGCTCTTCCTCAATATGAGTACCTCTGCAATGGCCTAATTTTTTAGTGCTACTTTGCATGTTCGACAATGGAAATTGGTGCAGTAACAAGCAAGATACACTGCCAAATAGTCAACATGTGAGAGAAACATGGGCGAAAAACCCTGTCCATCATAATTCGGCAGCTGTCGGACATGCTGATGGGACCTTTTCTCAACAGTCATTACTGCCCAACGACAGTGTGTCTCCAGGTTGATGTTGACAACAGGTGTAGTTCAGATATTGATAACAGCTGCAAGTGTGCTTCAGCCCACATATTCCATGGCATTATCAACAACTTTTAGCTAGACCTGTAGAATTCATCTAGGTACATGTTGTAGTATACCAGTAAGCATCCTATCTCTTTACCCTTTCCATTCCCCGAGGCACGCCTACCTATGCATTCATCTCTTACTTTGTATCATGTCATGCTATTACGTAAGCATTGTAGTTATACCTCATGTAGTACATGAGGCAGGAATCATCTCTTTTACCACCACGTCGCTTGCAAAGCTCTAAGTATTAAGCCCTACTAACGGCTTACATTTGAGCCTCGAGCGTAACGGGTGTTGAGAAGACTTGCCTTCAAACGATCAGAGCCATCTCCACAGGGACTGTCTGTGGAGATCGGAGTATGGGTACCGTGAACTGTCACGTTCCACGGCTCCAAGCGTCTGATCGTCTAATCAACTTGACCTACGAGGGTCTTCACACCTTCGTACGCGTCGTCCGTTAGACACTCCGACAGCCGTCCCACTACCCGAGTGCCGCTGGCATCGAGCAGCGTGCCACAAAGGTGGACACTGTGGGATCGGTTGATCCATCTAGCCGACGACCTAGCGTCTATCTCGATCCCCCTAGAATTTACTTCACCTGTCTTGACCCGATCAACGTCAAGACTCTGTCATCAACAACTCGAACAATCTGTCGAGCTTTCGCCCTACGAGATCTACTCCCCCAACGGGTAGGGGGGGCAAACCTCCTTTTTCAATGACTTTCGGAACTTCCAGGGCATCTACACAAGCTGACCCAGTTCAGAGCACGTCGACGCCGGTCCACAGCCCATCCGATTCACCCTGGAGGAGGACTACGGCCGCACTGACCCCATCTTCCTCGTCAACCAAGACTAAGACTATCCCTTTTACACGAGAACAACCCCCACACCAAGCGTCTTTGATTCCAAGGCCAAAATCATCGCCCCAAACCGTTACTACAAAAATGCCGCCGAATACCCCTTCCCCCGCTTTGCCCAAACCAAAGGACTTAACACACTCAAGTTCGGCTGTCCCACCACTCTCAGACGTCGAATCCTCTGACGTTACGCCGACCCTCCGCCGAGGGATGGAAAGAGGTTACGCCCTTTCACCAATGTACAGCCTAATCATCGAATACAATCAAGAACAAGGAAAGAACTTCTCCACAGCTGCGGAAGTCTCATGGATTCTTCAACAGCCCAACCTGAGGCCGAATGAGATCATCAGGAAGAACGACTCTGATCCTTACACCGCCATCACGATCAAGGACTCTCGATTACAATGAATTCTTCGAGTAGTTACAGAGCTACAAACGTTTCTGGACAATATGGCGAGCCTCATAGACGAACGAAGCAACGTGTTCAGGATCGACCCCGAAGAAACTATGATGACCGCTCTACAAGGCTGTGAAAGCCATTCCCAGCTGGAAATGGCTCACACTATCCTGCTCAAGCGTCTCCTGACGGCTCAACAAACGGTTAGCAAGTACGAGGCTCAGTACCAAAATACTTCCGATATGCCGTCATCTCCTGTTTCAACAGCTCCAGAACTATACGATGAACTCGAACAACTTGATGGCGTAGACAGTCACATGAGGTTCATGTTGCAAAGGATACCTCGCCACCGAGGTCATCTTACTCTGACAGCTCAAGAGGGAGTCTATCAAGGCCTTGGCTGGGATGTAATTCATCCTATGCCGCCAATACCTTCGGATGTGGAGAGTCAATCACAAGAGCCCCAACCTTTTGCGTCATCCGAGCCGGATACTTCGCTCCAATCTAAAGTGGAAGGTAAGAAGAAAGTAGAATGGGGCGATCTACCCCCTTGGTTTGACAAATCATCAAGTGTGGAGCAAGGAAGAGATAACGAAGAAGGACTTGAGCCTTCTTTTGGATTTCACACCCCTTTCAAGCCCGGCACCAAGTTCTTCAATGCTTCTAACGGTTCCGGCGCCTCCGCCCTCTTCTCCACGCCAGGAACGATGCCAATGACGGACGTTACGGTAGGACTTGCCACACCCTCCTTCACTCAGTTTGCGGACAACGTCAGAACGGTTCCAGTCGTTGAACAATCGCAGCAAGCCTTGGTACACTCGAAGAACGTCCCATCCGATAGGAACTCCTGTAACGATCCCAGCCAACTTCGTTCAAACAACTCTGCGCCGTTCAAAGGAGGACCCCCACCTGATGATGGTCCCCCAGGAGGGGGAGGAGGAAGTGGAGGTGGCAGAGGATCAGGAGCGTCAAACAACGACTACAACGCCTCTCACTCCGGAGGGCATTACCACCCCGGAGGGGGCGGCGGTAA